TAGACGGCCACCACATACGCTTCGACGAAGTGGACATTCTGCACCAATCTGAAAGATACTACCCGAGACTCACCAGAGAGGCCATCGAAATATTTTAACACCAAAACAACTTTAACAGAAAAGAAGAAATTACGGCACTCAATCCTGATTAGAAGCGCGTTTTGCGCCAAACAGCATGTGCGCCGAAGCGTTTGAACCCCCACCCATGCTCCACGCATGAGCACACACGGTTGGGCTGCATAAATACGACGGGAAATCCAGCAGTTGAACCAGACCCGTCTTAGTCGGGAGCCCGCTGCCTCATCGCCTTTGATAATGTCCACCGCAGTTGTGGACGAAACGTCAGGAGGAAATTCCCATAGACCATGGCTTCAAAGCTCGGAAAACATTCCTAAATGCAAATTAATGTTGTTCCAAAATAACATAAATTTAGCTTTTTCTAATTCGTTTTATGCGTTAACATTATAAACAATTTATATACATATCTACGAAATAGGTTTTTGCTAGTCGCAAGACAAAGAAGTAATGGTAGTACACATGCGCCTGCGTAGTATTCACTGTTACTTTACAACAGTTACTTGACAACTTGTGCTTTAATTGTTTACGTTCTATATCAAATAATTGAATAAGTTTTGCACAAAATTTAATTTATATTCAATAAATATATTGTTAAATACTTTATATGTCATTTATCAATTTTCATTAACAGAGGTAATCAATATAAAATAGAAATTAACCAATTTCTGAAAAATAAATTCCATTTAATTTTAGGATATGAAATTCCGCGCACTTGTAAGAATTCTACAGACTCTTTTTGCTACATTTGTGGTGAGTTTAGTCTAAAAACACAGCGATATGCGGTAACATATCTTGTTAAAAACAAAAAGCTTATCTGCTTTATTTTGGATTTTCCATAATCAAATTTACGATGCCAATGCTTTGGAGTGAACCGCAAAATCATGAAAATGACTATTATTCCTGCATGACATCAACTTGAGGATTCTCGAAAAGGAAGGCCGAAAATAAAAATACTTCTGGACTACAGCCTCAATCGAGTTTCAATTCTACTTGTACAGCTTCACCATCATACACTTTATCTGGATTTTCAAGCCCATCAAAAGAACCTTATTTTCTTAGACAACCTGATCTAAATGATCTCGTCAGAGGCTTGGGGCTATCAAAATCTAAGGCTCAGTTACTCGGATCAGGATTGACACCGTGTTATTTGTTGGATAAAAGTACGAGAGTGTCATATTTTCGCACAAGACAAGAAGATTTTACGATTTACTTCTCAAAATCTCTCTACAAAAAAATGATTTAGCATATTGTAATGATGCTGCAGAGCTTGAAGAACTGAGTTTTCCGGAGAATTCTGATGAATCGAGACTTTTTATTGATGCGTCAAAGATTAGTTTGAAAGCCGTTTTACTTCACAACGAAAATAAACACCCATCAGTGCCTTTAGCACATACAACAAACATGAAAGAAAATTATGCAAATCTGGAGGTACTACTTGAAAAAATAAAATATTCTCAATTCCTGTAGAATATTTGTGCCGACTTAAAAGTTGTCACTTTACTACTGGATTGCAAGGAGGATACACCAAGTTTTGCTGTGTTTTATGTGAGAGGGACGGTCGCGCGAGAGACAAAAATTACAAAGTGAAAACTTGGCCACAAAGAAAAAGCTTTACACCTGGACTTAAAAATGTATCTCAAGAACCTCTAGTTAGAAGTGAGAATTTATTTTGTTTTTTTTCCTTGATAATACAAAAGCTGACAACTACCAACAAATCATTCGAGAGCTTATTTCTGCTTATAAAGATTTAAAATGCAATATGACACTCAAAATTCACTTTTTGGCCTCGCATCAGATGAGCATAGTGAAATGTTTCATTAGGACATTATCTATCTTGAAAGACGCTACAATGGAAAATGGTCAGAAGCAATTCTTGCTGATTTTTGTTGGTCGATTCGCCGAGAAACTTCGATGGAAATGATGAAAAAAAAACTACAAAATATCTTGAATTATACTACCATACTGAGATAACTATACTGATATTTCTAGCACCTGTGACTGAAAAAATTGCATTTTTCGCTATAAAGCTTAGACCGTAGTATTTTGTCACTTTTTTGTAATTGTGTTACTTTGATAAAATTGTTTTTTAATTAAATGGACACTATATTTAAAATATATGTGCTATATTTATTTGCATTTTAAATTCCCTGTTTATAGCACCAAATATGATGTTATCCTGCATGAAAACAATGAGGATTTTTTTTTGCAGAGCAGTGTTAGTTAATGTTCTCTTCACCAGTCATGGGTAATACTGAGTTGCATCCGGTTGAATGGCACTTTTACGGCGCAATCCCCTTAGAACTGTGAACTGAAATTAATAATTGAGTTTGTTTCCATCAGTAAAATTCTATAAGCCTAATAAAAATATCTAAATATCTGCAGCTTACTGTATATATTTCAATGTTGTTGTACTTTCTTGAAAGTCTGCAAATTACAATATATGAGAATATATTCAATTTCTCTGGATGAAAATCTTCGAATCTGGAAAACATTCGGGTCAACAATTGTCAATTACACAATAATTAAACTTCTTAAAATAGCAGTCTGAGATTACTTAAATTGCTTCGTATTGAGTGTTTAATTTTAATTTTTATTATGGTTATTATTAAATTAATTTTGTCTAATTTTACGGCTTATCTAAAAACGAGACTTGCGAGACTCTTGCTACAAAACCAAGACCAACCTTTAACATCTAAGGCTAAGATCAAGACCGAGACCGTCTAAAAGAGAGATGTTTGTGCCACTTGTTAACTTTTTTAAGATAAATTGATTCAAATTAAATTAAATCACGAAGTAAAAAAATAATTTTGTTTCAGGAGTGACCGGGTCGTAGCCTGCAGGGTGAGCCGAGTGTGTACCGAACCCAGCTCTCGGCAATAGCGCAGTTTTCTACGATACCGACAATCCACGACGTTAACCGTGAGATTGTTCAAAGTATATTTTTCATTTAGTGTTAAGTGAAACACCTCGCCATTTAATTTCATACCCACGTTTCACTAAACGCGACTCCAGGTATGCTTGAAGCTGAGGTGCTAGTCTGAATTTATATAAAATTTGTGGTGTTGCTAGCGTTTCTTTTTTGAAACTGAATATTCAGCCAACACATTTATGCTATTTAATTGGAGGAATTAGATAATAGATACATAGAGCGAAAGAGCAACTATGTAATGATAAAATCAACATTGAATGAATGTTTCACATAACTAAGTATTTGAAACTACTTGTGTTCTAAAGAAGGGTAAATCTAGTTTTTATTGATATTTCATAAGGAGCAAATCTTCAGTTTGAAGGTGTAAAGTAGTAGCAAAATCCTGGGTAAAAATCATAAATTCATTCTGACGAAAACCATCACATTTAATCGGTTGTAATAAATCTTGAACTTTCCTTTTGAAAATAATCGTGCAAGTCTAACCTTTTTACGAGCTCCTTTACAAATATATCAAAAAAACTTTAAGAGTTTCCGAAACTGGCGAATCCATCTCACCGTTCCTGAGGAACATTTTAAAAAGTTTACCAACCGGGCACTGCATATACAGAAAATATGTAGCAGATAACTTCCGAACGTAACCTATATTTTATCAGACTCCTGATATTATCAAAGTTTTACGAAAGACAATTTTCGAAGCTTTCGGTTCGGAAAGTAATTTTTGTAACGTGCGAGTTCAGCGAACAGGCATATCGATAAAAAGAATTGGAAAGATTTGATTATTTATGTTGATTCATGGGAAAAGTTCAGCCGCAGAAAATACATTTTCTTATAATACCAAGACTGAAGATCTTTAAAATTCGTTTATTGGAAATTTTTTCAGCCTTCATTAATTATACTCAAAATTAAGAATATTTTGTTTTTTTGTTTCTGGTTTTGGGAAGATGATGCACAAACTCTTTTTCATGCAAAAAAACTTTTAAACATTTCGTTTTTTAGAACTGTTTCAACATGACATGAAAATTTTCAATAATTTATTAACTTCTTTAGCTAGTTAAAACACTAAAAATTGCTTTTGGCATATGGGCAAATCAATTATTCAAGTGTGAATTACGCGAATTTAAAGTTAATTCGCATTGGGGTGTTTCTATTATGAGTTTTCCATAAGATGAGCTACATACTTGTTAAAGATATTGAATTTCACTTTAAGTTATACTGCAGTTTGTATACATAAAAAGTTCAAAACTAACGATTATACGATAAGCTGCGACAAAAATGTTTCCAAAAATTGCCTCAAGGTAAGACCTAATTTAAATAATAAACGATTTTTTATTTCTGAATACATTTGAAGTTGATACGGACCAGATATAAGAAAGAATTCTGCACTCATGGTTCCAAGATTTTATAAACGTATCGCATGTATAAGAAAAACGTTTGATTCTACATACAAATAAATGGAATTTTTCCCATTCATTTTCCTTCTGGATAGAACTCTCATGCATATTTAAAGGACATACCTGAACATTATATACATATGTAATATTACTGTGTGGCAGGGGCACACTTGAAATAACGACTAAACCTACATTTGCAGTGTAAACTCTACAAGATCCACAAAACCCGGATATATTTCCAAATATAATTCAAGCGGAATTCGTTTTGGTWATTTGCTCGGGTAAATGGATTTTCATYTTGGGATGGTTGATTAATGTATTTCACTTTATCCTTTAGGAATAACTATTGCAGTAACTTTATTTATGAATATGTCGCCTTGAAATTTAAAATTGAGTCCTTGTACGTTGAAAATTAATATCATATATTGATTTATTAATATTTAATTCATCCTAAATAACTAACATTCATTGAATCAGTAAAATTAAGAACAATTGCATGAATTGGACGAAATGGAACATTTACATATGTATTTATTTACATTAACAATCTACAATATGTTTGAAAACTGAATTAGGACATTTTTATAGGTGATTCTGTATGTTAAAATAATGGCAGTAAGTTATGTAACAAAAATTCGAAATCTGATAATCTTCAAAAAAGCTCATCAAACTTCATTTTCACATTTAATTTTGACCGATGATTGACATTTATTTGCCGATCAAATTAATAATCGATACAGGTTTAGTTAATATCACTAAGGGATATGAAAATTTTGTATGTACAAAGCTTAACAGTCGCTTCAGATAAAATTTTCCCATAAGTTTGGAAACCAAACTTTCAGATTCTGTCCTAATAATTTATAGTTTATCTGAAAATTTTGTATTGCTTTACTATTTTTACTTTTGCTAAACTGAAACTTTTATGTGGGTCAAAAAGTAATTCCTATTGTAAAACGTTATACTAAGATCCTCACCAATTACTCATTGCGTTTTATGCGTTTCACATTCACTCTTTATGCGTTTTATTTATTATTAATAAGATTGAGAAACCGAAACCCGGTGGCATTAGAGTTTTCTGAAATATAGTACTTTGAAGAGAAACTGCTTTTAAAAATACAAAAACTTGTGATAAATAGTGATTGCATCTACAATTATAGCGGAAAATTTTAAGAAATATTTTGCAAAATGTCGGCTGCTGTTTCGAATTACGTGTTGCGTGTTAGGCCCAAAAATAGTAATTTTTGTCTTACATTCGTCTACCTTTTTTGCTATACCAATGACGAAAGAAAACTTTAATCTCATATGCACCAGAAAACCAAAAAAACAAATAAATAAAGATCGATAAAAGTGAGATCAATAATCACAGTGACTTGCACGATATTCAGAATGAAGGAAGGGATATGTTTCTGTAATAATAGCACTATTGTTGGCATATCGGTAATCACATCCGTATTAAACTGCATTTTCTATTTTTCAAACCAGGAACATTATTAGTGGATTAATCGTATTTGCTTATTTTTTACGAACTTTGATTGCCCATATGATGCTCAATAGTTGATGCACTTTAAAAGAAAAGCACTTTGGTCCATACGAAATGGTTTTTTTCGTTTTCATCTCATGAAGATTTAAATCAATTCGTTTTCTATTAAAAATTCTACCATGTAGACATATAAAGATTTGGATGAGTGTGAGAATGGCAAAGACTGAATTCGGAGCCAAGTTGAAACGAACATTGTGTCGTCGAAGTATTGGTTTGCCGTGTCAGATGGAACAGATCAGGACCATCCACGTTCCAAACAAATTACATGTTTGAAAAATGTTTGTCCTTTCTCTCCCAATTACTAGCCAGAAATGGACGATGCTTGTTAAGACGCACACAGCCAACATAGACAAATACGACACTAATATACCTACTTTAAAATAGTTATTAGAATGTGTATTATAATAATATTAAATTATACATTGTTTTCAACGACATAATTGCCAAAGTTAGGGGGCTTGATGCCCATGCAATTTCATTCAACATGTTAAAGAACAAGATTTAAATGTTTTCAAAATTTTATTGGTATTTTCAGCTAGTGAAATTATAGTATTGAATCGGTGATTGAATAATTTAATGAATAATTATTTTATTGGACTTGCTTGCTTGAAGTTGCTTGGACGACATACTGCTTAACTGTGCAATCAATGTCATGAGGGCTAGTCACAAGTAGTGGGGTAATGGAGAAATGAAGTTTAAATTGCCGTTGTCCTTTAGAAGTAGAAAAATCATATGTTTCCTATTCAATTTCAGTTAATGATTCTGCTCATAAGATAACTATCTATGGCTGGAAGATCAGATTGATACATTGCTAAAAGAGTTTTTCATATCAATGAACAAAAAGCATATCAAATTCGGGCACAAAGCAAAACCTATGGCACTTTCTAATACTATTTAATGCGGTTTTATGCAAACCATTGAGGCTGTAGTTGGTATAGTAATATATGTAATAACATCGTCAATTTATTTCCGGACTTTTGAAAAAGTATTTAATAATATATTTTTTAAACATTTAGCTCACTTATTAATAAAATGATGAGTAAATTAACCTCAGTGTCAATTTGTAAATACAAATATCAATGACTCAATTATGGGGTATTTAAAATTGGGTGCGCAAAGTTCATCTTTTTTTTTACAAAATT